AAACACATAATTACATAATCAATTAAAATGCAAATAAAAATAATTAAATAAATCCTTTTAAAATCCTCTAAAAATTAGAGGTATTACATTTTTCTCCCCTAATAAAGGAATTCCATCCTCAGAATTTACGAAACTCTAAATTATTTTTTTTTTTAAATTCATTTTTCCGTTCTCAAGTGGACTCAACCTATATATGGGCTCCACTAAACTCCAATGCATCAAATAATACATATGATTCCTATTATTAAGAACATAATAATCATACTACACATAGGTTGTATCTAACAATAATTTAATGTACCCAATATTTATACAAGGGTACTATCCACATTTTTACAACCTTATAAGTCCACCAAATATTATGAATTTTACATCTCAGTCACTCAGACCTCCATAACATTATTTACAGGACCTACTAATCCTCCCCTAGTACCTTAAACTTTATCTTTATAATGTAACACCTACTCTAGTGTCAGCTCCGATATTTTAAGTTAACCTCTTTAATTACCTTGGTTGTAGTTTGTGTCGTAGTAGTATGTGTCACTACTACACAAGCTATAAATTCAACTAAGATAACTCAACACCTAACCGAAGGTTAAGTATTGTATCGGCTGTTGGGAGCATCTACCTCCACATTCGCTCCTACCAGGTGAAACTTAATGTAAAATGTGAATTTTCCAGCACTTCTATCAATCTATGATGTCTCATGATCAGTTCTATTCATATGAACTGATGTCTGGAACTAAGGTATACACTAAACTACCTACAAACATTTCTTAAAATAACATTCCACACTACATAAGGCGATACCACTACTGCTAGCTTTAAAATTTTCTAGTTAGCTTATTAAGTTGATGGATCACAAGCTTACAATAAAATGAACCACAGTAGGCCATATATCTTTACGATCTCTGTAATATAAAGCTTTGCTAACTTTACTGATGATATCAGCGCAAATGTGCATGAAATATGTTAATTTAATTAATTAGTCAACCAATAACCCAAACAGAATTGTGACCCTTGTGCGAAGTCTGTAATCCTTCAATAAAGTCCGTGGAAAATGCTCTCTCCATCCATCAGACAAGTCATCAATTTCCTAAAAATAGCTATTTGTTGTGAATTGTGACCTTTAACAACTCTATATTATTTATACAAGTGAAGAGACTCTGTTTCCTCCTTCATGTGCAACATCAGCAATTCCTCCTGCCCATGTGACTGAATTCTTAATTAAGAATAGACTGATATTATTCAGTCTCGTGTCCTCACTTGGCATCATTCTAGTAGATACTTGAGCAATAAAAGAGATACCTAAACTAAACCAATACAAAGTCTTTCTTCCAACTTGGTAACAACTCTGGAATTCCCAAAAAGATGCTCGACAAATCTTTCACCTTTGATAAACCATCATGGCGTCACAATGGTCTTTATTTAAATTACACCCTTATAAAAATAGAAACATTACTAAACCATCATTATATCATGGCATTGCAACAAGATACGTATCTCGACCTAGCATAAAAATATATTAAACTAATCATACCAGATTATTTAATTCGTAGTTATGGTTTAACTATCCCACCCAGATAACATACCATATTGATGCATGTCAAGGTCTAATAGATTGGATAAAATTGGATATATATATATATATATATATATATATATATATATATATATATACCAAATCCCTATGATCACATGCTCACAACTCTAGTGTAAAACAGTGCTAACACTCCATGGTGTGGAAATATTAGGTAGATGATCACATACTTGTGTCACCGACTAAATCACACACCAAAATCCTTAATACCAAGGAAAATAAAATCTATATAACATACAAATTAACACGTAATGTACTCATGCTTAAGACAGTGTTCTTTCTAAGGAAAATCTCCTCTGAAATCAAACTTACAAAAATTGTTTCACATTTCCTTTTATAGTTTCATAGGTAATCATCCAACCTCGAAACATCACCTTTAAACATAGCTTAAAAGCAAAATCTGTTTGCATAACCAAATACCAATGGCTCAACTCTACACCTCCATATATGAGGAATGTAAGCAAATTATAGAAACGTCACAGCATAATATCAATGCTCTCTTGAATATGATATAAAATTAAATGGTTCGTTCTGATAAGAACTCCATCAAATCCCCAAACTTTCGGAGAATACATCACATATATATCTTTTAGAGATGAACATAAAGCTTACCGACACATAGGTTGAACAACACCAATTCTTCTAATATCTTTCGCTATACTACTAGCAAATAATATCCCCTTCGTACAATCATTCATCTTCAAGATTCAGTACCATCTTTCTTGGATACTCCAAAATCTCCTCAATTAGGATCCTCTTCAGGGTTCTCCTCTTCTCTTTTCTCCTCTTTGAGAACAATTGAAGTCGTGTTGGCCCTGAAATGCGGTGACCTATCATGTACAATTAAAATATTCCTAGGCTTATACTTTGAAGTAGCGTCAACCGGAACTAAACCTTTGATCCCTAATTAATAGATAAATCGATAATGTATTCTTTTACTTATTCAGGTTCTCTATCACTTCCGCCTCAGACCTATCCTTTTCTAATGCCAACCATTCTATAACTACATAATATATTTGACATTAACTCATCTAACAGACCGTAAATAGAATACAATGAATCCTATTATGGGCTCTAAGTATCAAGAGACGCAACGTGAAAATCACATAACGAAAGACACCCTAAGGACACTTGAACCTGGAATGCTCTGATACCAACTATGATACTCCCGAATTTCCAAGTGTAGGTTGGCCAGGCTCACACCCGAAGACCCGGGTATATTAAAACAATGTGACAATAAATGAACACAGAATACAAAAGGATAAATAAAGAATAAGGTAAAATGCAAAAAAAACCCCTGAACTATAGGGCAATGAGCAATTAACCCCCTGAATTACTAAAGTTGCAACTAACCCCCTAAATTATGCATTTTTGTTGCAAATGACCCCCTCAGTCACTGTTCCGGTCGGATCGTCGTCATATGATGGTCACATGACATACACTATAACTTTAATGACTATAATGCCCTCATGACCATGAAAAAACACTAATGCCCTTACTTTAACTATTAAACCCACACCCCTTTTAAACACCTAAACACACCCTTATACTGTTCATATTCACTATTCATCTTTCTCGCTGGAACATAGCTCTCATCTCCTCTCTCCCTTCCTCTGTTTATATATATATGTGGCCTGGAAAAAGAAAAAAAACACACACACACAATCAATTTCACAGAGGATGCATACAGGCATGATCGACTCAATCTTCTGTACTGTGTCGACTCGCTCTTCTAGACCTTTGATTGATTGAGGCACATATATCCAAACCTCAAATACCTAAAAGTCATTTAGTTCCTTCTCTGCACCAAACACGCAGATCCACCGATAAAACCATAAAATTGATCACAAATCAACCAAGCCACACAAAACCATGGCGGCGATCCGTGAGCTTCCACTTCCAATTCCAGTGACGGCAAAGAGAACCGAACCGGACAACAGCAACGATGAGCAAACTATCCGGTGAGGACCAGCTAATCCACAGCCATCCTCTCCACCACTTGCCACCATTATCCAAAGCTAAGCTCGCAGCGTTCAGTCCTGCTGGTCGCCATCAAACCCAATCACGGCCCATCACCGGAATCGCGACTTCTTTAGTTGCTGATTCGATGTCGTCTAGAACCAGCCATCTCCACTAGCCGAGCACACCGCCGTCAGTGTTCCGAGCACCGCCACAAGCTCACCGCCGCCTCCTTTACAGCCGACACCATCAAAGCCGAGCTAGCTGCCGCGAGTTCACCATCACAACCCATTGTTCACCGCCCCAAGCTCTCCACGGCCGAGCCAATAGCCAAGCAATCTCATTGCAAAATTTTGGTGAACCTTGACCCATTGACCCAGGCGAAAGCTCCGAACAAAAACTCCCCATTGAAGACCCAATTCCATCTCACCGGAATTGGGTTATATGGATGCTAGGAGGAGAGAGAATGGAGAACAGAGAAAGAGAGAAATTAGGGAAAGAGGGGAACAAATTTTTTTTTTTTTCTGGTTTATGAAATTATCGATGGCCTCTCTCAAAATGACGTAGTTTTTAAAAAGGGTGTAATACCCCTAATTTTAAAAGGATAGTCTCGGTATTTATTTATTTGTTTTAATTGTATTTTTTAATTATTTGACTAATTGCTTATGTGTTTAATTGAATTAGGTATTACTTGATTATTTGATTATGTGTCTATGTATTATTTGTATTTGTCTATGTGTTAATTGTTTAATTAGATTATGTGCTTAAATGGTGTTTTGATAAATTGTAAATTAAATGTTTTCTTTTCTTTTATTATTTTATTTTATTTTTCTTTTATAGTTATGGTTAGTAGTAATGGGCCAACCAATTGGGTCCCATGGACTACTTAGATAGGAGGTTGGATGTGTATGGATTATTACCCATGAATAATGTATGTATATATATAGATATATATTATATACATATAAAAAGGAAAGTAATTTATTAATTATTTTTATAGTAACTTGGGTAGTAATATTTAATCTGATGTATATGTTTTATATTTAAATAATAAAAATATACATAGATTTGATACGTATTATGTTTTAAGTTACTTTATAATACTATGGTAACTTAAGTATTATTGGATAATCCATAGAATGTGTATAATTTATTTATTTGATAAACATATACATAAATTATATACGTAACATATTTTACTTACCTTTTTAATATATATATATATATAAGAGAAAGTAATTTATTAATTACTTTTATGGTAATTTGGGTAGTAATATTTAATCTGATGTATATATTTATTTAAATAATAAAAATATACATAGATTTGATACGTATTATGTTTTAAGTTACTTTATAATATTATGGTAACTTAAATATTATTGGATAATCCATTAATAAATAATGGAATGTGTATTAATTTATTTATTTAATAAACATATACATAAATTATATACGTAACATATTTTGCTTACCTTTTTAATATTTTTATTTTCATTTTTTTTTAGTTGACTTGGATTGGGAAAAGGGTTAGAGTTAAATTATTTAGCCTATAAATATATAGCTATAGGTTGTAAAAGGGGGTTAGAAATATTCACGTGATATATACTAGAGAGATAGTGTTAGAGAGGGAAGGAAGAAAAGGAAGGAATGAGGAGAAAAAAATCATGTAGAGAGAAGATCAAGGAAGAAGAAGTTTAACTTTCGATCCGAAAGTTTAAGGTAAGTTCTTCTTCTATCTCTTTCCCTTTGATTCGTGTTTCTGTACATGCCTAGGAAATTCCAGGATTTATTAAACACATAAAATTAAATAATTATGCATGTTTAATTGGGTTAGAACATAGGTTTTATGAAATTGGTTCATATCTGTTCTTGTGTTATGAATTGATAAAATGCATGATTTTGATTTGATTTCTTATGTGAATTTTTACATGTTTAAATTATGTATTTTTCATATCTGTGGAATGATGGAACGTAGAAACATGCCTAGGATTCCTGAACATTAAATAGGGACTAGGTTTGGGTTTTAATAAATTTAAATAGACTCAATCATAATGATGTTTGCTATTTGAATGTTTTAAACAAACGAATGGATTTAATCTTTTAAACTATTTTAGCAATTGAGATTAAATGTGTAGGATGAATTGGATATAGAGAATCCTTATTTAACGGTATAATAAAATATCATCATGTATAAGATTCAGTTTGTGTAGGACATATGATATAGGAAGTTTAAAGAAATAATAAGTCATTCCTATTATGTGATAACTTGATATCATATTTATCATAGTTATTTATGGAATGTTTGATGTATTTCCTTAATTGTTACATCAATTGTTGGATTGTGTGGTTTAATGCACCGGTATGGGACGGTGGCATTCTAGGGATGGATTAACTTATCAGTTAAGTCCTACCTATTTTATATAAGGGAATAGATTAACAAAAATGTTAAGTCCTACTTATATTTTAAGTCAGGTCAGCTGAACAAGTTGAATGACTTATGGAGAATTAATTTATTATATAAGGGAATGGATTAACTAAAATGTTAAGTCCTACTTATATTTAAGTCAGGTCAGCTGAACAAGTTGAATGACTTATGGAGGATTAATTTATTATATAAGGGAATGGATTAACTAAAATGTTAAGTCCTACTTATATTCAAGTCAGGTCAGCTGAACAAGTTGAATGACTTATGCAAGATTAATTTATACTGGATAGGATGGTTACTAGATTTTATATATATAAGTATGGTGCCATGATATGAGCTTGAGTCTCAGGATCAATGGTTTGGGCGCGTATATCGCCAGGGATGTGTAGCTAGATATAGTGTAGTTGTGTACCCTGGTAGGTCTAGGTACTCATGCCTACTATATGTGCGTTTTGCATGTTGCCTACTATTCAGGTTGAGACAACCTTATAGTCTAGTGAGGTTCCTTTAGTGTGTATATATATATATATACGGACTACTAGTTACTGTTGGATTGACTAAGATATATACGTGTATCGGATCTCTGCTTGGACTGTAGTAGAGTAGAACTTGTTTGTGGGCCTGACCCACCATTATTTTTTCAGGTGTTCGTCACGAGTAGAGGTTGTTCGTGCTGAGCGGGGATCAGTCTACTTCATTTTTCCGATGCTACATAGGAGTTCCTTTATAATTCAGTTTCCTGTTTTAGATTACTGTCATTTGTTTAGTTTGGATTTTCTAGGGGTCCACACAGTATGGATTCCCGAGTTGTATTTTGGAGGATCAGTTGTATCAGAAGAGTTTATTAATTAATGGAAATATATTATGAGGTTTATTATTAAATTATCATTTTAGTTTCTTGTCAGCATTTTATTTATTCTTCTTTATTCTTTTGTACTCTGTGTTCGTTTGTTATCAATTTATTTTGATATCCTCGGGTATTTGGGCGTGCGCCTGGCCAACCCGCATTCGGAAATTCGGGGGTATCACAAAGGGTAAATTTGTCTTTTAATATTTCTGACCAAGTCACCTACCGGAATGCAACAAAACAATAATTTAGGGGATATTTTGCAATAAAATCATAGTTCAGGGTGATTTTTTGTAGTTTAAGGGGTTAATTGCAAAATCCCAATAGTTCAGGGGGGTTTTTTGCATTTTACCCTAAATAATAAATAAAATGCTGAAAGGAAAACTAAAATAATAATTAAATTTTCAAAATAAATGTTATTAAATAATAATCTAAAATACACCCATAGGCTATAATTCTTACCCATCTAGACTTCATATCCAAGTAATCCATGAGTCCCATTTAGTTGGTCCTTACAGTACCCAAACCCATTTCTTTAAATAAAAAATAAATAATTAAACATTTAAGCTAACACATAAATATAAACAAATACACAATTAAATCACATAAATCACATCAAACAAATACACACAAATAAATCACATAATTCACATCAAACAATTAAATCATTAAAGCACATAAACACATAGCCACATAATCAATTAAAATGCAAATAAAATAATTAAATAAATCCTTTTAAAATTCTCTGAAAATTAAGGGCATTACACGCTCCCCCACGCTGTCACATCCAACCGCAGTCCTAGTTACCATCATTACTCATTAATCTCACCCTAATTATTATGGCAAAATTAGGGGGCATAAGAAAGGGATGGAAACGTTAATGGGCTTGCACTCGGACAGATCTAGCCCAGTGCGTCCAATCAATAAGGCTCTTCACCAACCCTGAGGTCCAAAGATCCAGCCCAACAAATGCAGAGTTGAAAGGAAGAAGGCTGGGCCTCCGATTGGGCCGGTTCGTACAAACGGACCGCCCCACAAAAGAATAAAGCCCGTCAACGTCGGATTTGAAAAGAAATATAGGAAATTAGGGCAAGCGAAAATATACTATAAATAGGATATAGAAAGAAGGAAAGGGGCAGATTGTGTGGAGTGTGAGAAAAACTTTCTATAATAAAAAAGAAAATTTCTTGCATCTTCATGTGTGTATTGTAGTTGATTGCATTCTGGTGATCTATTTCCGGATTTCTTTCTCATTTAATTTTGCTTTATATCCAATTTTCTATATTATAGTTGTACGTTGAATGAAAAAGAAAAATAAAAAATAGTTACCAACGCCACTTAGACTAATATTCTCTTGCACATAACGTGATATATACTAATTTAATTTTAGTATTTAGCTTCACTAGTTGCCAATTATGCTAATAAGTTTTAAGACTTTATGGAAGTGATCAAGAGAGCAGAATTCTGTTGTACTCTAACCACATTGTATAGCCAAAACCACATGGTAATTGAGTTGTAATCATGGCTACATTTTGCTTATGAAACTGATGTTAGTTGTTGCGCTAGGACATATATAGCGGAGAATATTTGTTCCAAAACACCAAATTTCTTGTAAGTGTAATTAGTGTTCAAAATTAGCACATGGGTGTCCCATTTCCTACTCTATTAAATTCAACGTTTTTACAATGTCCAAGAAGCATATAAATTTTGTCAACGACCATTCCTGTTTATTTGTTGATTTAGATAAACAAGGTGACAAAACCAGACTTGTGTTGTTTATTAACACAGTTGGAATAGCTATCTAGTTAAAGCTCGAGTTAAAAATGTTCAACTCACAATGTAAATCATTTAGGTTCTTTCTCTGAACAATTCGGTCATCATATCTAAATATTGGAACAAAATTAAAATCTTAAACACATCACAAAAATATACTAAGACAAGAGTAATTATTATTTTATTTACTTATAGGTTGGTTATTAGCTCCTCCTGGCCAGTAAATGTTGGATTGATTGATGGATCGATCTATACATTGAAATAGTTTTTACTTTCAATACGTGATTGGTTAATTAAACACTAACAATAATGAGATATATATGATTATACAGCAGTAAGATTAGAGTACATAGCCAATTCAAATACAATGAATTACAACTAATATTGTTGTTCTAATAAAAGATAACATTCTGAAACACTTTGCTTGCAGTACTTGACTACCTGTATGGCAAATGTTGTGGAAGAGAACAGTCACCTCTTCCCTCGAACCCAAACGGTTGCTTATTATTATCCCAGCTTTCTCAAGCAATTTAACATCCTCTGCAGAGTAGATCAGTGCATCCATGAGGAGAGCATGTAATGTGAAGTAATGTTTGATACTAATGCAAGTTTGCTCGAAAGCAATGAGATTTGTGAAGAATGGCACTGTGATACCGTCAAGGTAGGAAGGTGGGATCTCAAAACGACCTCTCCTACACAGCCAAAAACAAGAATGAGGATCCAATACTAAACTTGATGTCTAACAGGTGTTTCCCATTACCTGCGGCCACTAACTTGACTCCTGTCATGTCAAGTTCTGTTGTTGAATATTTGAATTCCGTCTTCTTCAATGTGTCCTCCATACCACCTATACAATTCCAAATTGTATACATGTTATGCAACTGATAATAATAGGGGTGGCAATTCGTGTTGCGTGTCATGTTCGTGTCAACATAATTACGATACAAATACGATTAGGGTCGACACGAATACGACACAATGACCCTTGACACGAACACGATTATTACACGTGTAAGCAGGGACGGATCTGTGAAGGGCTCAGTGGGAGCGCCCCCATTGAAATTTTTTATTATTATATTTTATACCCCTAAATTTATACTTTTTTGCATTTCTATCCATAAAATTTTAAAATTGCCCCTACTGAAATTATGAAAAAACCCCTCTATATAAATTTATCCCCCTTCATAATTCCTAGATCCGTCTCTGCATGTAACACGACACGCGTAACCTGTTTAATAAATGGGTCAAGACTTGACTTTTAAGTCATTTTTTACACGAACACGACAAGTTTAGCTAATCGGGTTAACCGTTTCATAATCATGTTTATAGGGTCAAACACGGACACAGATACAATAAATCAACTCAACATTACACAATGAAATAAAATAATAAATAACTTTGAATAATACATTAATAACACTTTGCAATTCTTTCAATAAAATGAATACAATAATATGAACAATATGGATATAAAAAAAAACAAGAATTTAACAACATATATAATTCAGCAATATAATATTAATATTAACTCAATAATATAAATTAAGGAGTAAAACGACAATAATAAAATAGATAAGAAAGTGCTAGACTAATTGTTGAGGGCATGTGTAAATACATTGACCTAAAGCTGATAGTTCTCCCCTTCGTGGGGGTACTGGAGAAACTAGTCTATTCCAAGATACAACACAATCAGCTCGCAGCGGCTTCTCCTTCGTTTGCACGACCACAGGAAGATTAGGTCCAATTCTATATAAGTCTAGTTGCTCATAAAGTCAATATGTAAAAGTACTCTCAAAAAATGAAAGAATGAAATATAGATAGATAATATTTTACTAATAGGCTCACAGCCTTACACATAAACGTATCACTCTACAACATATCGCTCTACCACATATCACTCTACCAAATTACTTCTTGACATTCAGAGAACAAATATGAGAATTAAAAACTCTCTTCGATTCATATTCACGATGGTGTTACATTCAATTTATAGAGTAATATCTAGCTATAATAGGTAACTAAATATACAATAATCGGGAATCTAATTACCTACCAATTAGCCCTAAATCAAGGAGAAAAATAATTCAATCCTACAATTGTATAACAGGTAAAATCTCAACACTCCCCCTCAAGTTGGTGCATAGATCTCACACATGCCCAACTTGTCTAAAAATTTTGAAAACAATTGATTTGAGACTGCTTTGGTGAGAATATCGGCTAGTTGATCCTCAGATCGAATCTTAGGCAACTCCACAATTTTTTCATCCAATTTCTCCTTAATGAAGAATCTGTCTATTTCGACATGCTTCGTACGATCATGTTGAACTGGATTATGGGCACTATCATATGCTACTTTACTGTCACAATATAGTCGAATCGGTTGCCCAGGTAGATAACCCAAATCCCGTAAGAGAAGTCTTAACCACAAAGTTTCACAAAGTCCAAGCGCCATACCTCTGAATTCAGCTTCTGCACTCGAACGAGCAACATCATTTTGTTTCTTACTTCTCCATGTAACAAGATTACCTCCTACAAAAGTGAAGTAACCAGAAGTAGATCGTCTATCATCTGTAGCTCCAGCCCAGTCAGCATCAGTATATGCATCTATGTTTTGATAACCAACATTTTTAGTGAACAAAATTCCTTTTCCAGGAGTAGATTTCAGATACCCAAAAATGCGCATAACTTCAGTCATATGTTGCTCCCCAGGATCATGCATAAACTGGCTAACAATGCTCAATGCATAAGTCAGATCCGGTCTTGTGTGTGCTAAGTACATCAATCTCCCTATAAGTCTTTGGTATCTTCTTTTATTAGCAGGTACTTGGTTGGACTCAACACATAACTTCAACCCTTCTTCTACAGCTGTCTCAGCTGGTTAACATGCTGTCATGCCAGTCTCTTGTAATAGATTTAAGGCATATTTTCTTTGAGATAGAAAGATTCCTTTATTAGACCGAGATACTTCGATCCCAAGAAAATATCTCAAAGGACCTAGATCTTTCATTTCGAATTCTCTGGACAAGTACTTCTTGAGAGCCTTCATTTCTTCAAGATCATTTCTTGTAACCACAATGTCATCTACATATACAATAAGTGCAGTGATCTTACCCTGTTGTTTCTTCAGGAATAATGTGTGGTCTGAATTGCTCTGACGGTAGCCAAAGGCTATCATCGACTTTGTGAATCTTCCAAACCATGCTCTCGGAGATTGTTTTAACCCATATAATGATTTCTTTAACCTGTAGACTTTTCGACTATA